TTGTAAATGTTAACTTTTGACCACCTGCTGTTATCGTCTAAAACACTATTATCAGAAGGGGTTTTGCTGATATTATGGTAATTTTAATAGTTCATATCATGAGTTAATTGAAGCTAGATCACCATGGAAATCTTGGAAGCACTGGATGCGCACTGCTGGAAAGTCCCACAATAGGACGAAACGGCCGTCTAGTGCTTTCAGGTTTTCCATGGTAGCCTAGCATCAATTGACTCATGATCTCAATTATTTCAGTAACTCATTTTAAATAAGAAATTAAAGCTTGGTTAAAGATGTTTATGAAGAATGATACATCTTGTCAAATGTCAGATGTGAGTAAACTAGTATTTAATAATTTGATGTAATAGTACTATTATGGTGTGCGCTATTGATGTCGACAAACATAAGTACTATGCATCACCGATTGAAAGTGAAATGCCCGATAACAGAAGGTTGGGAAGATCGAAGAGAAAAAGAACACAGAGTGATTGATGTGATGATGAAGAAACAATAAAGTTTAAGACAACTGATGAAAATTTTACAAATAAATTATTTGCGTTCAGGTGTATTTGATTGTCCTTGCCTGAGTTCTCGTTCATGTCACTATCATTAAAGTATCTATGTAATGAATAACGTACAGTCAGAGCTTCTCCGTAACACTTTCAATGTTCAATAAGTGTATAGTGTCTAGCATTTTCGATTATTTTCCTATTCATCTAATGAATAATTAAATTCTGTACAGGAAAGGGCAATTTCTATTATTGGTTACATTTCAATACTTAACTTTTATAAAATCTTTTATCTTTCATATGGTACATTGACAGTTATAAAAAAACATCATTCATTCAATAAAGATCATACTCCAATATGAATGACTTGCACACTAAACCATTGGAAAAATGAACGAACGTACTAGACACAACACATTTGTTAAAGATTCAAAACATTGAAAGCGATCTCAACCTAAAACACTAATGGCTAAATAATTCAGTAGGACAATAATATAATCAATTGAAAATAACTGCTTCTTTTGCACTCACTGATGGTTGTCAAGTAAATGGCGGTGAAAAAGAGTGAACAGTTGATCAATAACATTTATAATTTTCGTAATATATTCATTTTAATGACAATGTAAGACAATAAATGTAATTGGAAATTATATGTAGTGTGACTTATTGCTTAGTAGATAATAATATAAATAGAGAATTAAACATTCAGTAAATTTAATATGTCGAAACGATCGTCCAGTGCTTCCAGATTTTCCATGATGGTCTAGCTTCAATTGAATCATGATCTCAACTATTAAAATGACTACAATCTTCATAAAACCCCTTCTGAATATTAATTAGTTTTTTATCCGTTACAACATCAAATATCATTAGCTTAGATTACGCCTGTTACTCCCAATAGAACATAGTCTATCAGATATTATATTAATACATAAAATCACTGATTAATTGTTTGAGTAATCAGAAATGAATAAACGTTTATTCTTGAAGGTTCTAAACAAGATAATTGTAGATCAAATAGAGAAGATAAATTACAATCACGTAAGCATAACTTCTATAACTGATTCCAATTTCGATGGTTAACCCTCTTGTATATTTCATTAGCTTTGTGTTGTCTAGATAGTGTGAGCTGCTCACAGTTTTTATAAACTTAATTCTTGATAGAATAAACAAAGTATATTATTTTATAGTTAATTACTTTAATTAAATACATTGTGTTAGCGTTGCTTAATAACTGGTTTTGAATAACCATATACATTTATCTACCAACGGGTAATTGATTATATTCATTTCATGTACATTAACAAATGTAAGCAAAGTACCTAAATGGCAGTCGGTGGACTATGATATGAACAATGATCTGTTGAAGATAGTTTAACTATCATTTTATCCTTATAGTTCATTGTTGTGTTGAATATAGACTTTACAAATATATATAACTTAATAATAAGTAGGTGTAAAAGTTGACATCTGTCCAATATGAAACTGTTTTTTTCTTCATAAACTGATATCAGATGTACAAGTTGTTTCTTTTATTGTCTACGACTTCACAAACGTAAGCATCGCCGACCTCTGTATGGATCTGAAACCTCAAGTTCCGTGAAACCTTTAGATTAGTGAGTCGAGAAAAGATTTACAAACCACTAATAAATTATATTATCATACAAGGGTGACGATAAAAATACTGGTCGGATTTACAAGAAAACCTGTGGTAATGCTTAGGTCGGCAATGGTAAACTATTTTAGATCATGTTATTATCAATCAATCAATCAACTGATCTGTCTCTCTTATTCACATTGATATGTGTTTTAACTTAGAATTTTTATTCGATAGTTGAATGAGATTAGCAAAAAACCATTAGCTTAGCATTTTGTCTCACGACGTCACATCATTAGTGGTTACAATGAAAACTCAAATGACATAAGTCAGCTAGAGTTAAGAAATAGACAACATGACATTGACTGTTAATCAGTGACTGATTATCGCAGAACATAAAGACTTATTTGAAAAACTAGTTCAATGGATTATGTCTCATGCATAAAAAAACTGAGCATAAAGCAGTTAATGATTTTAGTGAAAACGAAACACAATTATCTGTATGATTCCTGTAGTTAAGCCAGCAGAAAACAAGACCAGTAACCGATCAAAATTCTGATGTAACTCAGACAAAAAAAATGCAACTTATGTAGGACAAGAGAACTAGAGTACCGAATTTTTGCATCTTGATAAACCATATTTGAACCAAAAATATCGGTGTTTTTTTAAAAAGTTATTCCAATCAGCTCCAATTCAAGCCATTAAGTTTATTTATTCAAAACACACTTAAGGGAAATCATCTAACTTGTATACAACATCAGCTCGTGTAAGTTAGTCTTAGCAAGTTTGATCATTATTCCGCACATTTATCATTTTCCTAATAAGACATCATTATGGATTATGGATAAATTGGAAAACATAAATATTTTAGCTGATACATATTAAAATAAATCAACACAGCTTATGTACAATAATTTCTAACCATTCATTGAATGTCGAAGAGGTGAGGGTTTTTTTTTCAACAACAAGAAAATCTTCTTTCTTCCTTTATATCCGACATGATTTATATTAGTATAGGGATTGTGGAGATTATTAAGTTTTTTTATTGAGATCATGAACCGATTGATGTTAGACCACCACGGAACACCTGGAAGCACTGGAAGGCCGTTTCGTCCTGTTGTGGGACTCCTCAGCAGCGCGCATCCACGATCCCGCCAGCTGGTTTCGAACTCAGGGCCTTCGGTCTCGCGCGCGAACGCCTAACCTACTGGACCACTGAGCCGACATCCAATGGTGATAGTGTCTAACATCAACCAATCCACGAAATTGCACAACCATCTTCCATTGTACTGAGGTAGATACTGTTGTTATCATTTTATTTGACTGTATATCGCCACGTTTTGGTTTAATGTATATTACCTTTATACAATAATGTTATCTATGTAGACAGACAGATAGATATATGTTTAGTGTACATAATACATGATATAGACATCTTAAAGATTTATAGCATTCCTTAAATAGAACCACTAATGTAACATTTGAATCAATAAATGAACAATCATTAGTGATAAAAGTGACAACTGTTATCAGTAAACTTCAAATTGTTCCTATTTTCCATACATTTAAACATTTTCGAAGGTTATAAATTCAAACCATTTTCCTAGAAATCTTTATGATAAACTTTTTTTATTTTAGATTGTTTGACAATTAACAGATAACTAGTATTTGAGTTATTAAATATACTGATGACTTATAGCGGTTATAAAGTCCAATTCTCTAGGAGAAACCAATCTCCATTATATATATATATATATTCAAAGCAATTAGTCCCTTTGATGAATTTCCATGATGTAATAAGAAGACGAAGATTATCAGAACAATGTGATGATATATTAGTGCAATACACTTCGAACAATCTGATCATACATTACATACTTGTTAAGAACATTCATATATATAGAAAATAAATGGTCAACTAGACTAGAAATGAGAGTAAGAAGAGACAAGGATGATAATAATAAGAGTAATAATAATAATGTGTCTCTTCTTATCATCCATTTCTAGTCTAGTTAACCTTTTATCGTTTCATATATATAAATGTTCTTAACAAGTATATAGTGTGAGATCAGATTGTTCGAAATGTATTGCACCAATATATCATTACATAGTTCTGATAAGCTTCGTTTTCTATATATTACATTATGGAAATATATATATTCAATTATTGAGATTTTTGTGGAGGCCCGTTATTTTGTTGTCATTTAGATCGGACGATGTTTGTTGACAGCCTCTCCACCTTAGTGGCCCGAGATCTGACTCCAAGGTGATTGTATGAATATTTGTTATCACCTATCCCCGTATATAATCATCGACTTAAATCGCGTTCGTCATTAGCGGAATTAAATAAGTCAAATAATGAGAATGGATTTTTGAATACATATATTTTGTATATGAAGCGAATGGAATCGAGATAAGGGAAACGACGCGCAGTGGAGATGTCGGGTAAGCCAACTCCCATTTAACCAAGCGTTAATCAATATTTATAGTTACACAAAAGTAAGTTACAGTCATTTGATGAGCAATGGGATAAGAAATGTACACACACCTACACGCTCATATAAAAACAGTCAAGATTGATAAGCAAATAATTAACAAGGTCCGAATATGACTCAAGTAGAATGGGCTGTCCGAAAGCTAGAATAAGGTATATGGGCTTAACAATAATAACAGACACTACAAAATCATAAGTTAATTGAAGTTAGACCAACATGAAAAACTTGGAAGAACTAGACGACCATTTCACAAGAAATTGAAATGACTAACATCTCCACAAAACCCCCCTTCTGATATATATATATATATATATATATATATATACATATTGATTTATCAATAACAAAATATATATAAATCAATTATATAATCGATTATCTATCAATTTATTAATAACTTACAATTTTGCTTAATGTTCTAATTTGATCATCATCTATAGGTGGATTACTATAATCATCAATTAATATAATCTCTTTTATATTATTATTAAATAATAATAATGATGTATTCATTAATATACTTTGTAATGTATTTTTTATAATGATTGAATTTTCATTATATGCAATAATGATAATACTTATTTTGGGTATATATTTATATATCTCTTTAATAGATAATAATTCAATATTTAAATGATGGGCTAATGTATTCAATGTTAAATTATGACATAATTCAATATTAAATTTTTGTGTTTTTCTGAAATGATTTTGTTTAAAATGTAATGAATTCAATAATAATGTTGATCTTGTGAATAATAATAAATAGAAAGTAATAATAATAATGAGAATGATAATCTTGTTGATTACAACATTAGATTGAATAAGATTAGGATACATTTGATAGAGAGTAGTATTATAATTTAAGTGATTAGTAAATGATTACTTGTTATTAGACAATATTACGTAACTTCATCGACGGTTAAATAAATTGATTTTACACATATATATATATATACATAAACAGTGTTGAAACTTTGAATATTAGACCTTAGCAACAAAAGCAATTCGTATATAAATCCATATTGTTTGATTAGTTTTCTTTTCTTTCTTTTTTTTTTAATTATTTTTTCATGAATTTCAGTGGATAGATAAAGAAGGTTTACTATTACAGATTAATATGATCCCATCCACCTATCACAATTATGTTATACATATACATATTACACATAATCCATACACTTCAATATTATAATTTAATTATTTCTGTAATAGAATATGTACGTGTAAGGTAAATGCGTTATTCTTTTTAATGAAAACATATTTTATTTTTTATTTTTGGTCTGTGCAGAAAAGAGAAAAAAACTACAAAGGTCATTTTAATATTGGTTAATAAATCTGAACTATGAGATTGGTTACATGGTATATATATATATGGATTTATGCTTGTATATGAATAAAAGTGTTGATTTGTGCATAGCACATAATTGACACACATTCACTCACTCACACACACACACGTGGATAATACATACACACAAACATATATATATATATATACAAAAGTTGATGTTACCTATGAAACGTTTACGTTCATTTTATAATTAAGTTATATTTTTTTAAAGTGTTAATATTTCTTCTTCTTTTTTGTTTGTTTTAATGAGAAGCCGTGTTCATTGTCATACGTTTGTTTGTTGTTTTTGTAACGTAAGCATTTGAATTAATTGTACAATAAATTGGCTACATTTTCAATCATCTATGAAATACTTAATTGATTGAATAGTGTATATTTAACATTAACTAATTATCGTTTTAATATGAATATTTCATAAAGTATATAATGTAAATATAAGCAAATTATCATAAGGGGATATTATAGTAATTGTAATAGTTGAGACCATGAACAAGACCACCATGGAAAACCTGGAAGCATTGGATGGCCGTTTCTGATATTAATCAAAAAGTATTTCCTGAAGTTCTATTGAGAAGTAGTAACCGATGGCGTTCAATCGGATCAGTTGTGAGATAGTAATTCACTGAAGAAAATGGTGGATATGTCGCTCAATTTTGTGGACTAGTTGAAGTTAGACATTACCACAATTGGATGCCGGCCGGCTCAGTGGTCTAGTGCTCAATCGTTCGTGTGCGAGACTGATATGTCCTGGGTTGGAGTCTGGCGAAACGGGATCGTGGATGCGCAGTTCTGAGGAGTCCCACAATAGGAGAAAATGGCCGTCCAGTGCTTCCATGTTTTCCATGGTTGTCGAGCTTCAATTGACTCATGATCTCAACTATTAAAATTAGCAAATTATATCAGTTAAAATATTTCTGAAGTTAAGCATCAACCTTACGTTTATATATTTTAGATATAAATTAGGAAAAGTATATTTGAATTTGTGAATGAATGGATAGTAACTATCCTATAACCAATTTCGATTATCGTTGAGCTCATCTATTAACTTACTTAATAGACAATGTTATTTAAACAGTAATAATTCGCATATTTATTTGTACTATTATGATCACTAGACAGACTCCAGCTAAAATGTTGATTACTTAAATATCACTTGATGATTTATCCTCCTCCCTATGTATATATGTACTCAGATCCTATTATTAGCCTTTGCCTAGCTATGCCGTATTCGATTTGTGATAAGTCATGCTAATTGAACGCTATATTCGGTTCCTAAGCTATCATTGTAACCCCCAAGCTAGAATTATACAGCGGCTTGAACACGAGAAAAGGCACAAAATATGTGAGAAGCACTTTACTCCAAAGGTTCGTTTTAGCACAGAAAATATAAGGTTTTTATAATATTTTAGATGTCCTTGGGTTTACTGAAAATTCTGGAATGCTACTGAACTTAATAACAGTATAGTAATCAGCCAATCAGAAACTCTACATGTGACTTTTCACTTTCTTAATGTTTTTGGCTAAACTTCAAGTGCACGCTGATTAGATAAAATGCTTCTTAGTGTTTTCCTGATCCTTTCTTGTCTTTTGAGAGAAGTTTTCTGGATCACCCCAACAATTTGACTATAAATTCGCTTCTGTATTTGCTCGTTTATACTTATTTGCCCCTGCGCTTCAAATTCGCTTGATTTGCTTATAGTTTTGTGATCTGCACTATCCCCTAATAAACTGTAGTTGCCGCTTCTCATTACCTTTTGATTTTCATCATCGTTGAGATTTATATTATAATGGTAATCAAGGTGATCGATTAACGAAGCAAAGTCACTACAAACGGATAATGTTTTTTACAGCATAACCCTATCAGTTATTCAAACTCTTATGATGATTGAGGGCTAACGAGAGAAATGATACTTCAACGGAAATGTTATATATGGTTGTCTTATGAGTTTTTTTTATCACTGTTTGTAATAAATGGATAATTGATTTCACTCTATAATGCGCACTGGACGCATCGGTCTACTTCTGTTTTGTCGGTGTAATTTTTTTGACTAGGATTATAAATATGAGTTTAGCAGTTAGATTGCAAACAGTATCCAGTTGTACATTTGAACCATTGTTCTCGGTGAAAATGACGTTTCCTACCTAATTTAAGGATAGAATTCCGTTTAATTTATATGAATGAAAGTCAGTTAGATGTTTTACATCATGCGAGTATTAATGTTACGAAATATGAATTCTTGTGTTACACAAAGAGATATTATTAGTATTTTTGTCTTGACTTCTTAAACCAAATGTGGAACTTCAATTTCGACTCTCATTGCTAATAACTCATTTCCAAATAATTTATAAGTACTGGTTTTATTAAGTTGGGTTATACGACTTAAGAATGATTTTTCTCATAGGTTATTTGGAAATAGGAAGTATTTGACATTAGTTTCACACTAGTTTGAGGTTCTTCATAAGTGGACCCCCACGACTCCATGCGGAATGTTGTAGAAGAGTGAAGAATACCTTGTTGAATAGCCAACAAAAGTTTTTGTAGGATTGTTGTCACATGACATTGTTTTGAGATACCAGTCAATAGATCATAATAACTGGTACTATAAAGCAGATTTGACATTATCATTGCATTAAATTTAAAAGTGAATTGCAACATTTTAGTGGGAAGATTCACAATGTATTTAGTCGCAGATTATGAAAAGGAAATGATTTTATACGTTCGAAATGGCCGATTTCATTAATGTACGTGTCAAGTTTAAAACGTTATTTGTAGCTAACGTAACAGACTGCCTCCAACTAAATAACCATTGGACTAGGAAGCACTGGAAATTTGTCTAACCGTTCAGTAGTGTAGACCCTGAAGATTGGACCCACATGATACAAACTACAAATTGATCTGTCTTGACAGAACTTTTATAACAATATTTAGTATTTCCTGTTTTACTACTTATGACTAATAAGTAATATGCTCACAAATTGAAAGGTGAAAAAGAAGAATGAATTCAATAGAATCAACTACAAAATGAATAGAAATTCACCAAACGCAATGTATTTAGTTTTTTAAATATTTTTGAAGTCACTTGCATACATATATAGAAAGGGTGACTATTTGTACAAGGGAAAATTACTCGACCTCTTCTCCTAACGTAGCTATAATCTTATAAATCGATGTAAACATCCAAGGATGAAAACTTGTTTTCCACTTCTTCTCTGGTAAACTTGTTGTCAAAAATGTTGTTTATCAATTCAGGTATTTTAGATTTTGCCTTCTTTCAACAGAAAAAAATATGGAGACTTTAAGTATACAAATATCCAATAAACCAAGTCGATAGCAGTGATAACTGGACTTTGATACCAGGATAATAAAGCTCTCTTCTCTTCTAGTCGTGACTAGTCCAATACGCAAATTTCGGTGCTTAGTGAAAGGAGACTAAAGAAGATTAATCCACAATTCAGATTATTCAATTATATCCCCATTACATCAAATGAATATTAGTTACAGGATTTTTAAAACTGAATAAAGGTCATTCGGACAAAAAAATCACTAAATTGATTGATATAATGAAACTACACTGAAATACGAATGAACAGAAATCAGCCCAAGTCAATAGGTACACTTTGAGATTTTTTTCTAATAAGTTTTATTTGAGGATCTAATATCCCCAAATGTATTGAGAAGATCGTATAAATTGGAAATGAACATCCATTTCTCAACTGACCATTTACTTGCCTTTGAGAGCCAAGTTTAAAGGTTTTGAAAAAGTAATTTGTATATAAATTAGAAGGAAATGAAACTTATTCCAGAAAGCCGCTGAAATAGATATCGCTAGATTATTTTATCAACTACACGACGAACTACTTCGTCAATAAACATCGCTATTATGGGGCTGAGCACCGTATTGATCATTCATGCTCTGAATAACTAAGCCCCAAAGTTTAAGTGACGCAGTTTCAAAGATATCAGTTTTTTTCCGAGATCGAAAATACCATTTGATGATAGGTAAAAACTAGTAAATAGATACATAATTATGCCTTCCTTCTAGTTAACTCCAGTTTCACGGGCGGCCTGCCTGAGCATCTGGGCTACCTGTTCCTGCCATCTAGATATTTCAACAAGTTATCTATGTTTGTTTTAATATATCATTATGTTTATTAATTGCATAACCTATTCTACTGCGTTTCTGAGAAGTGTACAACCTTTCGTTGTTAAAGTTACAAAAAACTCAATAAGAGACAATGTGGTTGCTGGCAATATACAACGAAAAGAATGTACGTTATTCAGATGTTTATTTAGTGAACTGTTAACATCTAACTGGCGATCACTCAATATTTATCGCCAGGACCGACCAAGAAGAAAGAAACGAAAACTTGTTGAAACACTTTACGCTGAGAATTCTATATTGTACCAAAATTATAATATTGAATAAAGCTAATAATAATAACTATTGTAACGTGATTAGATGTGTGTACGAAAATTGGCAGTCTCGCTTTCTGACTAACTAATGATATTTTTGCTACATGCTAAAACATTCAACTATCAGTTAGCCAGTCAGAAGTTCGAAGCCTCCCCAATAAAATCTAGTTAGATGATCTGAATATTTCTAGAACTTTTGCAAGGTGTGTTTCAGGTCATAATACATCTATAATGACTTAGAATAAGTTTTACTAACATTATCAGCAAGAAAATCGACTCGTTTGCAACATCAAATAAGGTAAATATTTGGATTAACCAGTTAAGTTAAAGCTATATAAAACGAACAGAACATATGTAGAAACAAAGAATAACTGGTATACTCATAATTACAAAGTTATCTGAAAACGGAAAATATTGCAAGCAGAAAAAAAGTTTCCTTTGAAACTAATATTCACATAATTATGATTTGTCCACATAATATTCAGAAAACTAGGAACCTGGTAGTCCTGTTAATAGAATAATGATTATTTGTAGTCAGTTTTAAATTCAACGTGACCGGATGACAACAAACATTTTTATTTACCAAACAGAATCGTACCTACCGTGCGAGAGCTGGTAATACTACTGAAGCACTAAAATATTGCTCGCATCTGCTGGGATCACTGGGTAAGTAATAGTGGGGTTAGACGCAGGGTATTAGGGAATGATGGTAAATCAGGTGGTGAAGTTGTAAATCTTCATCGACTGAGATGGTCGAGCCACGTGTTACGTATGCCTGAACACCGATTACCATGACGCGCAATGTTGAATAGTGTTGGAGACGGGTGGAATAAAGTTAGAGGCGGTCAAATCAAAACGTGGCACCAGTGTTTGAAGTCGCTAACTTCTGATCTGAGCCATGTTGTTAGATGCGGACTACTTGTTTGGGGTCCGCGTCACTATCGTAACCAATGGTTGGAGACTCTAGGTGACACTGGCTCAGAATCGATCACAATGGCGTCGGTGTATACACTCTTTGTCTTTCCTTAAACCGTGAGTTTAAATTGCTTTATTTCTACCAACTAATTCTTTCTTTCTGTATTACATCCTTATACACAAACC